TCAGACTGAATACCTTCTATCTTATTGCCAAAGTATATTGATCCTTATTGACCTTTGCTATGTACTTTTCCATAGTCTCAACTGATATTAATTAAGATGCCATCATTCAAATCTAGAACTTTTCTTTTAACACGTATTTATTGTAATATATACCATGTAGCGAATTTGTAGATACTTTAAGTATTCATTTTCTATTGCTCAAAAGTCATATTTGTATAGGGGAGTTGATATTGTACTACTTACGTATTACATACCCTATCAGCAAACATTCATCAACAATTGTACTGTACACAACCTTGCTCACAGCTAAATGTACAAGCACTTAGTGAAGAGACCAAGTTTGAGTAGAGAAGTAAACCTGTTGAACAGAGCAATATCCTTGATCGTGCTTTTTGTTATTAAGTATTAGGATATGTTTTCCTTTGGTCAAATTTATAAAGAATTTGTTTGTGGTCTTTCAGGCTAGTAAGTATGAACGAAGCAAAGAATCCCCAACATTTAAGGACTTGGACTTTATGGAGCACCATCCTGAAGGTATTCTACTAGAAGCAGAAACCTACAAAGCTCTTGTAAATACCATTGCAAGAGACTGCAGAGTAAGTAGAATTTATTGTTGTAAGACTAAAGTTCATTACATTATTTAACCCTATTTACCAATTAGGAAATATTCTTTTGTTGATTTGAATAATGTATTAAACTTAGACATGAAAGTAGGAGATATAATGTTTTCATCAGATAGCTTTTATTTAACCATATGAAAGCCGTATTTAAGGAATGATTAATTTCTGTAACCAGTTACTCCCCATGATAGTTGGCTGTCAGATTTTTGGTAATCAGCCACTGCTTAGATGGCTTAAGTATTACATATAGTGGTTCTAGTAACTGATTTAGAAAATACCAGTGATAAGGATAATTGAAAACATTACCAGTTAGATTGAGGAAAGTTTTAGAAAGTGATAGTTGCAGCAGATATGTAGTATGGTTGCCATGCCCATTGGGTGTTTAATCTAGGAATTGTTTTTACATATAGATGGCTCCACAAGTACTAGGTCACCAGTGAGCCAGTTACAAGAAGTACCTGTCCCACCTGTTTACCCTGTTCCTTGATTTTCGATAATATTTTCTAGTATTTAATACTACTGTTAGCAATGTCAATAATAATATAATAATTATAATGTTTATAACAAAAATAACAGTATCAATATTGATATCATTCATAAAAAAAAAGAAAATCCACTATTTTAAGGAAAGGTGGGGTCACAAAATCTATTAATTGACTCCTTTGTGGCTAAGCACTATAAGAGCCATCAATGTGCAGAAAAATTTAAGAAACCAATACTAAAGTGAACACAATATTTTCCTGGCAGCATTGGGTTAAGGAATTATAGTTAGTTATAGTTAGGATTTCAGTGTTTGCAGTGTTTTGTAAAGGAAACAAGTAAGTGTAGCACAAATAGATAAATACATTTTGATTATTTTTGTAATTTATAACATTTGTACAACTAATGTATCTCTTCTTTTCTTTTAAGGTATTAACATCTTTCAAGATTATGGACTATTCCTTATTGGTGGGCATTCATAATTTAGATCTTGCAGCCAGAAAGAAGGCAGTAAGTATTTTTTCAGTATTTCTCATTATACAACAACTTTGTTATTATTAATGTTCAGAGTAATGATGGTATTAGTATTGGTAGCAACAATATGGATATCATTAGTAGCTTAAACATTTTTAGAACATGATTCTTCAACTGTGCCCTTTGAGAGCTATATGTATCCAAAGCTATGTAATGACTGATTTTTACAAGAAAAATTTACTTAGTGTTTGCTCAAATTTCTGTTTTATTTCATGTAAACAGGTTTTTATTATTATTGTTGCTACTTTTTTTCTTCTAGAGTTACATTTAGCTTAGGTAGAGCCAGGGTACTGGTAGAATTTCTTCTAAGAGGATGCTTAGTTAGAAAAAATAAAACAATATCTTTGTAGAAAATGAAGTATTGTCAGTGTGTTTGATAAAACTGTTAATCACCAATTACATCATTCCATTTTATCTTTGTGAGATGTTAGATTTAATCAACAAGAGCTCAACAACATTATGGCTAATATTCTATCTCAACAGCAAGACAAAGAGAAAAAATTAAATGGCGGAGATGGTGGGCCAGCAGAAGATGGGAGTGGAGAGGTGGAAGGAGAAGGGACTGGCCTGACCCGATCCCGCTCAATCAATCGACACAAACTTGTAGCCCACTCAACTGCCATGGAATCCATCCAAGCAGATTCTGATCCAATAGATGAGGAGGACCATGTCCCGTGAGTGCTTTAGAAGTTGATTAGTAGATCAAAGTTACTGATAATGCTCATTTTCTTTGATTTTTTTTTTTTTTTTTTTTTTTTTTTGTAAGTTGTGCTTTCCTTGATTTGGCAAGGCAAAAATACTAAATAAGTACTTGATGTTAATTTTTCTTTTTGTTTGGGATTTCTGCCAGTTGTTAATTGCTGCCTACACGTCTACGAAATGTATATTTGTAGTCTCAATTTTCTTACATCAGTAGTTCTTTGTAAACAATTTACCCTACTTTTTCTTTGTTTTTGGATACATATATATTATATATATATATATATATATATATATATATAATATATATATATATATATATATATATATATATATATATATATATATATATATATATATATATATATATAATATATATATATATATATATATATATATATATATATATATATATATTATATATATATATATATATATATTATATATATATATATATATATATATATATATATATATATATATATATATATATATATATATATATATATATATATAATATATATATATATATATATATATATATATATATATATATATATATATATATATATATATATATATATATATATATATATATATATATATATATATTAATATATATATATATATATATATATATATATATATATATATAATATATATATATATATATATATATATATATATATATATATATATATATATATATATATATATATATATATATATATAATATAATATATATATATATATATATATATATATATATATATATATATATATATATATATATATATATATATATATATATATATATATATATATATATATATATATATATATATAATATATATATATATATATATATATATATATAATATATATTAATATATATATATATATATAATATATATATATATATATATATATAATATATATATATATATATATAATATATATAATATATATAATATATATATATATATATATATATATATATATATATATATATATATATATATATAATGTATGTATATATTTATTATATATATTTTGTTTATGTTTTTTGTTAATATCAGATCTTTACAGGAAATAGTACATTTTTAGGTTATTAATTTGCCAGAAACAGTTGCATTTAGTCGCAACTAAAAAAATCCTTTTTGCATATATATTCTTTTGTCTTACTTTATCCTTTTCATTGTTACTATGCTTGCAGGCCTGGAGGCATTCCAGCAAGAAATGCAAAAGGAGAACGACTGTTACTCTTCCTTGGTATCATTGATATTCTGCAGAGTTACCGCTTGAAAAAGAAATTAGAGCACACATTCAAGTCCATGATTCATGATGGGGTAAGTAAGGAGTAAAGATTTTTTAGATGTGATATCCTAGTGTTCATGTTTTTTAAAGCTCATGTGATATAAGATATATGCCTGTAATGATATACACTTGATGAGATTGATATGTACCATAAACTGTCAACTTCCACTCTTTATACTGCCATGTTCCTTTCCAGTGTGTTTTCTACATTTGCTGCCTCTTATGTCAACTTTCATCATCTATTTTTTTCAATTTTTTAAGTGCTACATTTTCAGTTTTCATTCTCTTTTCAGTCTGTTACTTTCTCTACTTCTTGCTCTTTTCTATCTAGTACTTTCACTTGTTATTAATCCAACTTCTTTGTCTTTGCCTTTTTTATCATTATTACAACTATTATTATTCCTTTCTATCAGTTGATCCACTAGTCATATGTTGAATCTTATCGTAACTCAGTGCACAACAAGAGAATATCTACTTCTCAGTTTGGTCATCAGCAGGAAAGTCTGTATGCTATATTAGTTGGTGCAGCCGCTTGTCTGTTTTTCAAACATTCCAATGATAAAGAGGAGCCAAGTGACTCTGAGCTCAGACTGGGTTGGGTTTATCAATTTTTTTTTTTTTTGTTTTTTTTTTTTTTTTTTTTAATAAATTTCCAAATAACTAAGGGATACATCAGTCTCATCAGACTAGGGTTGGAAAGTTGTGGTTGTGATAAGCATTATCAAATTTATCTAATGAAAAGAAGGATAGGCCAGTTTAACTAGTCAAGTTTAGTGGAGGTGAAGTCATATTTAGGAAAGATTTACTGTAGTTTCATTCTTCATTGTTGTCATCCCTATTTCATTTCATTATTTTAATTTACCTTGTATTTCTCCTCATCTACCTTCTCCCTCTTTCTCCTTCTCCTCGTCTCTTGCTTTTCTACCCCTTTCTTCTCCTCTTCTTCATCCTCTTTCTTTTTTTCTTTCTCTTTCCCTTTCCCTTTCCCTTCTCCATCCTTCTTCCTGTTCCTCTTCTCCTCTATCTTTTCCTTCTCCTCCTCTCCCTCCTACACCTCTGTATCTTTTGCCATTGTTGTCACTACCACCTCATCCTTATCCCTATCCTCACTCTTTATCTTTTTCTTCTCTCTCATCCCTCTTCTTTTTCTTCATTTTTGTTTTCATCTTCTCTTCCTCCTCCTCCTTCTCCTCCATTTCTGTCTCGTCTCTGTCCTTTTGATAGTTGTTTATGTAATACTGATTAATTATGACATTTTGCAGGACACGATATCAGTACATCGACCAAACTTTTATGCACAGAGGTTTCTGAAGTTTATGGAAACCACAGTCTTCAAAAAGATTCCATCAC